CTCTCATTGGTTGAAGGGACCACCATTTTTATGGGAGCAGACCATAACCTATCAAGGTGAAGAAGAAACAACATTCGCTCTCTCTCCCGATGATCCAGAGCTAAAGAAGACCCGAGTCTTAGCCACAAGTGGAAGCCAAAGAGAAGAAATGGCTTCGATCCTGAAACGTCTGGAGTACTTTTCAGACTGGAATCGCACAGGGAAGGCGATAGCACCGCACCAGATCAATTTCAAGTGAGAAGTCATCAACAAGCAAGACTACCAAAGTAGAAAAGAGTCCATTTACGGTCCCAGCCATTACAGTTGATGAAATGCGCCAGGCTGAAATTGTTATCCTCAGATTATTACAAAGCGAGGCATTCGAGAAGGAAATGAGAATACTTCGAAGCTGTACGATAGATGGTAGTGCCATGGATCGAGACCTCGAGACCCTAGGTGGAATAGGGTTGCACAACAGATACACATTGCCTAGTAAAAATTTAAGTACGAGATATTTTTTAACTAAGTCATGAATACTATCTTTCAATTATTCATTAATCAAGTGGAATCAACCAAACAGGGTATGAAGTGGTTAATAGCACTCCCAGGTTCATATTCACGGTGAACTGCGTGATGCATTTGCCAGCTCATAAATTCATTGTGAAAGAAAAGGAGGGTGAAAGCGATTAGGATCAGGATCCCTGACAATGCAGACTAGAAGAGGAAATCTGAAGACATCAANTCTTGCGCACACTTTCATGCTCTTCGGATTCCTTAGAAAATGGTACTGCATTAACCGGTAACTGGAGGTTTTGCACCCAACGGAGTTTGCACCCATCAAGTTTGCACCCACTTCGACTCAACTACCTATCAAGTTCACCCCAGGTTAGTGGGCATAATAGACCCTTTTCTTAAATGGTTGCCAATTATAAATTCTATTGTAAGTATTAAAATTAGTCTGACTAACCTCATTTTTGAGTTGATAATTCAAGAGAATTTTTACTCCCAAACAAGTTTAGTGACGCTAATTTAAATGCATACAAAAGAATTTTAAAATTGGCAGCCATTTATGAAAAGGGTGTATGAAATAAAATCACACAAAACATGTTTATTTCTCGTTCTTTAATCTCGTTCTTTAATCCACTGAACTATAAAAAGGTGGAGGCGAACTCAACACTTTAAGATGAGTACAGGGTTGCAAACTCGGTGGGCGCGAACTCGATTGGGTGCCAAACAGGTAGCATTCCATCAACCACTACATTATTACAACCCCTATCACTATTATTATGCTCGTTGAAAACAATTGTGACTGCAGAATTCACATCCAATGCTTATCTCCAGTATCCCTCGAGGCTGACCATTTTTACCCGCTGGTAATCTGTTCAGCTCAGTATGATGTCAAAACTGTGAACAGCACTTGTAAGAAGGGACTGGTACCTACGAAGATCCCTTTTGTGATGATATTGCGCAAAATTTAATGCAACTGATTAAAAACAACTTGACTGGCCAAGAAAATTCACTCGGCTATTATCCCTTAAAGCCTACGAAGACTCACAAACCTCTATTTATATGGTCATGGACTTATCACACTAACATTAGGCCTGACTGTGGCTCTTAGACCTGTAGCCCTTTTAAGTGTTATCGATCTTGAACATATGGATTATGCTAGAGGCAAACAAGAGACTTAAACTGATAACGACTGCCCTTGTTCACTGAAATTACCAAGGAACAAGAACAAAAACATAAACAATGTTCAAATATTCCCATTTGGTATTGTTATAAGTAAAGACAGCAACAAAAATCGATTTTAGATTAGCTTACATGTTCTCAATAGAATTACCAAGAGGTTTGATCTCTTAGCATGTGCTTTCATCACTAGAAATGGGTAATACAGGTATTACATAGTACTTATCTAGAGCTACTAAACTATTAGATTAAGTGCTCGAGATTTCTATCGAGAGCGAATAATCTAATTGTTTTAGTATAAATCTACCAGTCGTTCAAAACTTTATCTAAATACTCTTCATAGACACTTCGAAAACGCCAAGAAGCGGCTGTCATTTTGTCAACAAGGGCACACTGCTACACTACTCACTATCTATCACACAATAGTGAGTAGCGTAGCCATTCAGAGAACGGTATTCGTGATAGAACGCTAGTAGATTTATACTAAATTGTTTTATAATAAGTTCCCTGGTTTTAATCAACCCCATTTACATTCTGTTAAATTCGCCTTTCCCTTTCCCTCAGATTTCCAACATAATGTTGAATTTCCCCACCCAGGAGTGAAGATTCCATTAATCTGAGATATTTCGTGATACTGTATATCCACTTGCATTATTGTCATATAAGAATTTGGTACCTCGGCCAGTTGATCATTATAGCATTTCTCCTTCACCTTTGAGTCCCAGTCAAGAGCAAGAAAACAACGTCCTTCAAATCAAAGACAAAAAATAAATGTCAGCACAATGCAGGATTGCAGCAAGACTAATGACAGGGTATTGTGAGATATCAGTCAATTTCAAACATGACAGTTCTCCAATCAACCGACTTCTGTAGCCGAAGTAAACGCAAGAACTTTTGCATTGATTTGCTAATGTCTCGCCCAAGCAGGAATGCTACATCTGATCATCAAGTGCCAGTTTCTGCACCAAATTTAAATGATACGAGAGTTGAAAGTATAGAATGATATACAATAAGAGATAACATATATCTTGACAAAATAAGGAATTATGAAGAAAGAGCTACATCAGTGTATGCTGGTAATACATGTATGTGTCATTTGTTTGTGAATGCAAATACCCTGGAAGATGTGGATGAACTGCCAGAGTAAAACTTGTCTATTTAGATGACGCAAAAAAAATGACGCTAAAAAAATAATAAAAAAAAAAATTCAGGGCAGTGCTTATTGACTAAAACGAAGACCAAAAAGTAAAAATTCAGTTTCCTTCAAGAGAAAATCGTCAGGATGGCTAAAGGAGACCCTCAATTGTACCTGTGCCTTTGAATCACTGCTGGATTGCAGCCATGCGTAGTAATTGTACCTGTGAGTTGTTTAAGAGGCTTGCCATTATCTTGCAACGCCTGGATATCAGTTCTGCCATATGAGTTGACTAGAGTCAAGTTGAAAAGATACTTGCACGCCTTTCCCTTGCACTGATTGTTCACTATATTCTTTTGGCTTGAGCTGTCATCATCACTATTTTGTGAATCGATGTTATCATCCTCATTTTCATCTCCCTGCAAGTAAAGCAAATCTTTTGAAATGGCATCAAATTTCATTCAATTAAAGACCTGTATGTGTTTTGAACAGAGGAGAGCTTCTTTTAGCTTCATGTGAAAAGGGCAAAAATATTTCAGTGAATGATAAACGGTTTTTGGTTGGTTGTGGTATGGTTACTTTGCTGGGGATAGGAAAGGAATTGCTGCCATGACTGTTCTTGACTGACGGTTATTTCAGGCAGCTACCACTTGATCTTAAATCGATAATTTTGAAAATTAAACATATTTAGTATTAACAATGACATTCTTTACAAAATTATTTACCATGCTCAAAACGATAAAAATATTTAAGAAGGGAAAAAAGGCTAAATGGTTACGACTTAAAAAGTCATCTTCAAGGTGAAGAGAATGTACTTGCTTGTTGCAGCTGGGATTTCATTCCTGGACAAACAAACTTTTAACAATCCCAAGCTTGTGAAAGGGCCATGTTTGAGTTTCTCAAGGAATTTGCTGGCTAAAGGAATGAAACTGCTTGTCACACAGTTGGGGGACAGGCTTACAGTGTTGACAAAGGGTTTGAATCCTTAGCAATGTACATTGCCTTAATTTCACATTGTCTCGCCGCTGTGAAAAGCGAAGAACACTTTCTTGATATTTTTACTCCCATCAGCAGATGAAATGTTAGTGACCAGTGCTGTTTGATATGAACAGTGTTGTTAATACTCTCACATGTCCTGTGTATTTCACCTCATTAGACAGGCCCCAAAGTTCAAGGAATTCATTCATTCATTGAAGAGTACAATTTCACTTTATTTGCACCACGTTTTCAACCATTTTACTAAAAACTTAATTGCAGGAACATTGCCTGATAATTTAGTGAGAGGACACTGTGTTATTTTTACCCCTAAAGGTATCTCTATTAAATGAACAGCATGCTGAAAACTATCGAGATAATTAAATGCAGTTAGTCCAGTAAAAATTAAATCTAGTCTAAAAGGGTGTGAAAAACATAGATGCTGAAAGGCTATTTTGAAATCTAATAATTAAGCCTGGATATTGAAATAATTCGTATTACTTATGACAGCTTTTGTTTCGCTTGATGAACGACGAAGCAGCTTTTGAAGGGATGGCCAATCGTTTACATAGAGATTCAATTAGTTTTGGCCATTACATTACATTTCATTACTGTATGCCAATTAACAATGACAATCGTTTAATCTAGTCATACTTTTTTTTGGCAACGAAAATTGTGTAGCGGTGCAATCACTGGGACATGTTTAAAATCAAGCTAAGTTGCATGTAGCAATCACCACATAGCTGCGATTTCATAACCATAACCAATGATCTACGTGTAGTAGTCATTTTCTGCACAAAATACGCTTTTTAGCATGCAATGAAGTTCTTCTTCGTCTTTCCGAGCCCAATCGGACGCAAAATTAAATATTTATTTGTAACGCAATAAAACACCTGGTATCGACCTAGTTAGACCAATAAATTAAAACAAATCATTAGCAACCTAGACAGAGGAGAATCGGGTCTGCATTTCTGGGGTTAGTTTTGTACATTCTAGTTTTCAGGTTTTACAATGTGGGGAATACATTTCGTGGAACACCAAGTAAATCACAGATCACAAATAACTCACTTCCTTGAATTTAATACAACATCTGCAGTCTGGAACATTCCAGACAGGGTAGTTGATTGTTTTGAGATCTTAGTTTTCAACACACCCAAAACTCCAGGAATTTATGGGTTAAAGATATGAAGATGCAGTAACTCACATTCACATGTACATTTTGAGTTGCCTTTTCCAATTCTTCACAATCCTCATTTTCACTGCCTTCATTCTTATCTTCATTCATTTCAACATCTGCAAAACAACAGTGAAGACAAATAAACTGTAGCATTTTATATCACCATAAAAATGTACAATTTTTAACTACCATTTGCGTCCATCCATGAACCCTCACCTGCTTCACTTTCACCTTCAATTTTGCTTCCTATTCCTTCATCTTCCTCCGGAACACTGACAAAGCGTCTGAATAGAAATAAAAACAAAACAAGAACAATTTTTAAATAAACGTTACCTATCATGCTTAAAGGAAGTTCACCTACCAGCAGAATGAGCAGATATCAAAAGCTGAGGATAGGTTTAATGTAACTGTCTAGGTTAGATATTAGTGACGTTNATACAAAATGTCAAATTTAGCAGCTTCTGGCCTACCAATACGGTCAGATCTTTTCCACCCATTCATTATTAGAATTACGTTTTCAACAAATGTTTCTTCTTCATAAGGAAAAACATTATTGAGATCACAGTGACCCCATTAATGTTTCTACCAGCCTTTAATGGTATTAAATCAGCCATTTTAAATTATTTCAATTTTCCCTAACTTTTCTTCAAAGTATAAATTTTCCCTAACTCAAACTAAAATTCCCTGACTTTTCCCTAATCTTGAAGAATTCTTTCCCTGACCATTTCCTGACCTGTAGCAGCTCTATATGAACATGTACAATACTGCTAGCTTTCTGACACACCTAGCAAAATGAGTGTTACTAAATTTACCTTTTCTCTCTTTGGTAAACAGGAAGAACAACAAAATCACCTTCATCAGCCTCAGATTTACTGTGTGATAATTCATAACTAAATAATAACAATGAAATATCATCATTTTACAACAATGTGTTATTAGGGTCAATATAACATTAAACTTTGATGCTCATCCAGATTGTACATGTATTCTTAAAGAAACTTATCGATATGATATATTAAAATTCAGCGACATTCACTTGCTATAATTAGGTTGATTCATGCATTTATACAAAAACTCATCCTTGCCACCAGGGTTTTGTAATAATTCCCTTAAAGACAACCATTAATATCATTGACAACACTAAGAACTCTCATGCATGCCATCTGTGTACCATTTCTAAACTCATACCCCGCTGTAAATTTCATAATGTCATGATGCTTAATTGCCATGCACTTATCAGAACAAGTAAGCATTGGGGGTAAATCAATGCTTGCAAAAGATGAAGTGGGCCAGCCAATGTTGACCCTCCTAACACCACACAAAACAATAAATACCACTTACACAAAAATGTCATCCCTGTCAAGAATCTGAGTCAGTGACTCAGTAAGTGAAAACACCTTGTGAAACCTGTGATTATACACATCTGTAACCACCATCTGCAAGGTACAGTGTCCATATGATTTATTTAACTTTATCACATACAGGGCAAAATTACTGACATCAGTCAGAAAACAAATTGCAGACATCAGTCTGCAAAAGGTTCTCAACAAGAAAAATCTTCAGTTGGATATTCTTCCCATATTTTCCATAATTACTAAATAGAACAGCCAAGTTAGATCAATTTTCATATAAATTTTAAATAAATTCCTAATTATGTTAATGAGAAGAAAGCCATGTAATGTAAACACGTACATGTATTGTTCCATACAACTGGATACACAGATGCAGCGAAAAGGTTAATATAAAAATGCTTGTATGCATGCAATGGTACATGTATATTAAAGTTAGTCTTGCTAAATAACAGAAGAGTTAACCTTGGTAAGTGCTGTTTTAAAATATCAGCCACATTAGAATATATACACAAGAGACACAAAGCACATGTCTAACCTTGTCTCTGGGGATGTTTGTTTCTTTTGTCAGAACAGCCAGTAAGTCAGCAACATTACCCATCTTTGGCACAGTCAATTTATACTGAAACAGAAACAGAAATGAGATACATGTAAGATGTTGTAACATACAGCCACATTGATTTATATCCATTTATCACGGTGAAAGAGAAACTCACCAGTATGGGTTTTATAAGAGGATCACTCCGTACAAGGAAAACATCAAGGCTTCTCTCCTTTTTGACTGGCAATGGCAAAGACAGGTAGCAGAATGGGTCAAATGTGACAGAGACCTTGAGAGACAAAATATGTCACTTGGTTACAAAAAAATAATTATTCAGTGTATGTTATAAAATTTTATAACACTTAAAACATTGTTCCATTAAATGTGTTTAGTTAGTATGTTACTTTTATGCACCAATTAAAGCAAATGAATTTAGGGCTGCATTGTTGGCTGCATTGATACGCTTTCCCATTGACAATACAATATGTACACTGTACCTCAGCCACTGGCCACAAAACAATGCATGATACTGATATTTAGCCACTTTGATTGTACGCAAACAAGGCTGTACAGTTGACAACTGAAGCATCCATTTTGTTAAAGGCACCCTTTGTGAATAGTTTGAATAAGACATGAATCAAGTCAAGAAGCACTGACTGTATGTTGTTTCTAAATTTTTATGACAAATTGCTTCACAATGAACAAAATGAAATGCTTTGGTGATGACTTGTTACAGTTACTAGGACTGAAAATTTCCATTTTCTCATTGGTTCATTAATGTAATCATAATATTGCCGTATCATCTTCACCTCTTGGTATTCACATCATGATGAAAAATCAGTCCATTGGTATACTGTCACAGCCCTAGAAATGAGTTCTAGAACCATGTAATTCAACACCAAACTGACACAGTGACTACAGTGTACTGGATCATTTTATAATGAAATTCAAGANAACACTTGCAGAGTATAATTATGTAGGTAAGCTATTGAAATTTTTACAGAAATTATTTTAGGGAAAAAACTTAAGGAACGACAGAATTTCTGAATTTTTACCAGATACATGTAAGATTTAAGTTTGTATCAAAAACTAGTCAATAAAGATTAAAAAAAAAAATTAAAAAAGGAATTCTTATTATTATTTTTGGCTCTACGTGCCTCGTTGACTATCTATCATCTTGTGTCCAATGCCTGCTCATGGAATAATTGTTAAATATGACAATGTGATAAGGCACCACAGTGACTTCAGAGGCAAGAAAAGATTGGCATAGAATACAAGTGGTAAAGTAGAGCACTTGGAAATAAATGAATCAACTGTTCCAAACAGTCTAAAACATGATCAAACTATATTTGTATTTCCAGTTTTAATTTGTCACAAGAACTGACCTTACTGCAATCTGGGCAAACCAATGTGGATTTAAAAAGTCCATGGAATATATCAACAATAATGGAGTTATTCCTCTGCATGTGATTTTTCCAAGACTCCTCTGCAACAACCTAACAATAAAACAAATTAATATACATGTACATGTCACTTAAGTACTTTCACAGCTCTGATAACAACTCTGAAGCAAAGGACTTGACTAAAACTGTAGGCAGCAGCAGCTGGGTTTTCTTGTTATTGAGGAGAGTGGGGAATTTCATTGGTACTTGTCACCCCCAGTAATTTTTTCAATTTTTATTCGTATTTAAATTAATATTTCTTTGATTTCTTTTATTGTCAAAACTTATTGGAAACAAAATTAATGTTACCTAAAAGGTTCTTATAAATTATAAGTAAAAAATAAAACAAATAGGGTTTTCACCATTCATATTACACTGATCACAGCTGTGGTTCAAATATCTCAAGTCATCAAAGCCACTTGAAAACACAATTTTGTCCCAAACTTTATTTCTCGTGGTTCCACCTTTACTAATAACTTTAACAAATGACAAACATTATCAAACTGATATGAGGTCTCAATATAAGGTCTCAAACAAAAAAAATAATCCACTAGAGAAAGGATAATGAGTGATTTAGAGGTTAAGAGGTTAAGTTAAGGTTTCTTAATCTACACGTATAGTCTTTTTTCTACTAAAAGTATGTTATTAATCAGGATGATGTAATGAAGATAAAGGAGGACATTTAAGTTTTGTGCCAATTTAGAGATGATACAGAGGTCAGTCTCGACCACATGTAACGAAATTTTGTATAAAGACCAAAAATACAAAGAAACTTACTGTATCAGGCCTTCCATCAGCATCCTTTACTTCCACATAAGGCTTCTTTTTCACACGGTTTAAATCCTCATGAAGCCCATCCAACAAGAATGCAAGAAGTTCCTGAGAATCTTGCTGTTGATAGCCAGAAAACTGAGGTGCAAAACGTCCCACTTGCATTTTGAACTGTCTTGGTGCTACTGAACTATATTGTTCATTCCAGATCTGATTAAGGAGACCTGCATAAGCATTGGCAATTTCACCTCTCATTCCTAAAGGGTTATTGCGATTCAGTTCCTCTTTGTATTTACTAGCTAAAAAGTATTCAGTCAGAGGGACACAGTTGCTTAAACACTGAAGGGCAGAGTTCATGAAACATGTATTTCCGAGGTTTCCAAGTCCTGTTAGCCCTGGCAAGGCGGTACTTGATCTTAATCCACCATATCCCCAGGAACTTCTTGAACTGTAACTGCTGTAGAAATTTTTAAAAAGAACATTCTATTACAAGTGTGCACAGACTTAAAATCTCAAGTGAGCATTTTAAATCAGGTTGCAAACTGAGTGTTAACCTGCAGACTGATTTTCCTGCTGTGAAACTAAACATATGCTTAATCTGACTTCTTATCTAAAATCAAATTTCATAAACAACATCAATGCTGATTAAGACTAATAATAAGGTTACAATGTAACTATCTAGAAATTATATTCAGTAGCTTGATATTCCATTTTAAAAGCAAGCAATTGCTAGTCTAGTCAAAATATTCTATAGTAATTATTATAGTATCGCATATATCTTAAAACCTTCAAAGCAAGACATTAAGGGGTGGCGAATGGTAAATGCGAGACTTTGTGAGACTGTGAGACAAGCGTTTTTCTTTGTGAGCCCGAAACATTTTGACTTTTTAGATTGCGAGACCGAGACTTCAAAGCGCTTTGAGTGCGGGCACGAGTAGTTCAGATTCTTAAAATTCTAGTCCCAGATTTAGTTGACAGCTAGAATGAGCTTGTACAGCCTTACACCAGCTTCTTGGAACTGACTGGAACTGGAAATTCGATTAAAACACATTACCTTATGATATCCTAGGGAAAAATAACTGTTTTTCTGGCGCCAAAACGGACATTGCGGTAGGTTTTGTACCTCTTTGTGGAATTAAGACAATTTAGGAGAAGTTAGGATTCAATTTTTCTCAGAAAATTTGTAATTTGCTTCATTGAAATTCAATATCAAGTGAAGCAGGAAGACGTCATTTATAAAAACAGATAAAGGAATGAATTGGGACTTCGAGTTCGAGACCCTTAGCCTTGCGACAAATTGAGACTCCGAGACAGCTTCGTAGAAAAATCGAGACCATGAGAGGCACATAACCGCTAAAATACAAGACTGCGAGACCTGTGAAATTCGAAGAAAATTTTACGAGACTCAGAGTTTTCAAAGGACCATTCGCCACCCCTACATTAGGCCACATGCTGAAGTGTGCATGGAGCATAAACAGAAAAAAAGTGTTGAAAACACATAACCACAACTCTAAAATGCCCAGATTAAATAAAGACTTGGTCTCCTTAGAAAGACCACAATTAATGTAAGTTTAACAGAGGACTAGTCATTTGATGTCCTTGAATTGTCTTTATGCTGAGAAAGTTATGCTGAATAAACATAAAAAAAACTGTACAAATCAAGCTCAGAGAGGGTATTTGAGTGTGATATAGATATTACTTCATGCTATTGCTTGTGGCTTTTATCTTTTAGAGCCTGTCTCCAACCTTGTTGTTTATACGTTTAACATAAATATCCGTCCGAACATGTGTACCTGATGCAGAGTAAAATATCCTGGTCTATCCATTTCACACATTATCATTTCATTGATTCAATACAAAAAATAGTTAACTCACTAGTTGCCTCAGATGATTTTTGACTTACTGAACTTGCATTATTCCAAAAAGAATTACTAAGGACTACCCCCAACACACACACACTTTCTCCCTGCAATCACCCTTTTTATCAAGACAACAATGAGTCCTCTTCTTTCAAGATATTCTCCCCTAGTCCCTGTTTAAAATAGCCAGACAATTTTGAGACTTAATATATGCTTCAAAGTTGCTAAACTTGCAAAGTACCTTCAAAGCAAATACTACGACCAATAATGAAAAAGTAACAGATAACTGGAGGCAACCCTCACCTGTAGGAATTTGAAGATTGACCACTGCGTTCAGTGCTTGATGTCACCTGTCAAGTAGAAAAAAATTATGCCAAATGTAGTGAAACCACACTGATGTACAGTAGCTGTGATTCAGTTGTCTACCACATTCCAATTTCAGAATCACCAAATTTGGCACATATTTGTAAACAAGGGATCAAGGGGTGTAATGGATTACAAAAGATTGACCAGTAACAGACACAGAAAAATACCTGTGCAGCGCTTAAAATAGAAAGAAGAAACGTCACTCAATTTATTTCTAAGAGCTCTCCAAATTTACGGAAGATCGCAGGGTACAGAGTGCACGTATATTTCAATTTTTAAATTAGAGAAATTTGATGAAGTTCTCTCATTTACATAGACTTAATGTTTCTTGCATTGGACTTAGTAATGTATATATAATGAGTTTTTTCAAAAGGCCATCAGCTAAAGCTACACCTAAAATAAGGCTAACTATAGTAAGTATACTCCATCCACAGACAAATGGAAGGCAGTAACTTAACCAATCAAAGCAAACTTTACTAAGTTATGTTCAGATAAATTTTTCAAGAAACTTACAGATGAAGATGAAAAAGTACTGAAAATAATAGAAATAAAGTAGACAGTTAGTTCCCAGAAAACTGCTGCTTCTTTGGAGTAGAGAGAAACAAACAGATACAAAAAGTACACAGATGACCTACATGTACAGACAACACAGAGTTAAGGACATTTTCAAATTACTTATTTAAATACTCAATTTTAAAGGAGCAGCTATGTCATGAAATAGGGAGCTTAAGCAACAACAACGATGATGCCAAGGACGACATCTAGTAAACGATGAATTTATATTTTACCTGCAAAATTTGCGTTTGTCTAGATCTGTTCAGTACGCCAATGGCTCTAAAAACGTGCTCAGACTAAATGTGCAATGACAGTGTTCAATTCCAAATGGAAATACGAAATATTAGCCGTCCTCGTCCATGTTCAGTAGACAGCACAGAACTTGGTCATTTCACGTTGTTATTTTGCAGAGGACAGCAAAGAAATGTACAAAGAATTATAACGGACGTGCACAGCTATTGTTTTGCTCATTAAACCTTTTGTTTGGTAACGCTCTTGTTGCTGTCGTCGTTGTGGTTTACTTAAGCTCCCTAACGAGGAGTGCATTGGGTTGTGTTCTTGGGCAAAATACTTTACTCTCCATAGTGCCTCTCTCCACCCAGGTGTATAAATTGGTACTGGCGAATTTAATGCTGGGGTTAACCCTGGGATGGACTAGCATCCCATCCATGGGGGAGTAGAAATATTCCTAGTCACTTCATGCTACAGAGACTGGGATAAGCTTTCGCTTGATTGGTCACTTGGCTTGTATGCAGATTACATGCTGTATGTCATGAAGGGTGTAAAAATAACCAAAGGCTATATTGTCAGGTTCATCAAGTGTTATCTACCTGAGTAAACTTCTCAAATCTTAACCATCTTTGTTTTGTTCTGGTTTATTTTTACTTATTTGAAGTTTTTCAACCCTTCATTACACTTCAACTGCAGGCCAGGAATACACCCAACATCCCTAGGCATTTTTTTTCCAAACTTCCCAGGCCCACTTATGATCCTTCCAAAGGAAACAATTGCAAGTTGTACACAAGTTTTCAGTTTTGACTCGGACCAGGTACCTTTGTCGTGCTTGATGTTGCCAAGTACCATCCTCATTCTTTTGGTCTAGAATAAGTACCTGAAATAATTATACAAACAGTATGAGAAAGTGGGACAACAGATGAGCTTGATAATTTGGAAAGGTATGTAGAAGGTTGGTGGGACCAGTCTTGTAAGAACCCTATTGTATGTGTTCTAGATAACCACCAAGCAGTGTTATCAATGCAGTGAAGATGAGGTACCATTAACGATTAGAGCAGTTTTCCATTGAGTGTCATGAAGCCAAAACCAAACCAATAACTTACCAGTTAGAAGACTACTCAGGGGTTGTTTGTGTTGTTTTACATGTTTTTTACTATAGTAAACTATAGTTGTATGTTTATTCATAAAAAACTCCAAAAATATCTTGATTCAACATCAAATTAGATGATGTCATTAACATGTTCTCATTGCTTCTTTAAAGATTCCATGTTGTCATGCATCTGTTCAGTAATTGATCACAGAAAACATAAAACTGTGGTAAGAACATCTGTGTGACACTCGGCTACCAGCTTGTGTATCAATTGTTTTCAATTTTACTCTACCCACATTTTGCCCTTCAGGCACCCAACTGTGTAGACTTGGGTGCCCAGAAGTCAAGCTTGGTAGCCCGAATGAAAAAAAATTAATTAATTATAACTACCTAATAACATTATTAATTAATGTATGATAACCGATTGACCCTCAAAAAAAATGTCTTGCATTGTTTCTAGGGTATTTATCCTATGTACAAATGCCAAAGATAAAAGGTTCACATGTAATTTTTTGTTATACTGTTGTCAAAAGTCCGTAAAGAAAAACAAAATTTACACTTTTGTTAGAGTTAAAATGGTTGACATATGTAGAAAAATTAAGTCCTTTTTTCCTCTTTGCCCTCTATGCTTCTGACAATTTAGTTCACATTCTCCCTCAATTAGGGACTTTTCATGCACATTAATTACAAACCACAAGAACTAAGAAGACTTTTTGTTAATGCTATACAAAGTATACAAGGAAACTGCAGTCCGTATCACTAAAGGCCAGTGCTAAATGTACACATTGAGCTGAGCCATTGAATGACCAATGTTTTTACTTCACAGATGAATTTAAACATTCTAAATTGAGCCATTTTGCCTCGTAAACTTTAATACAACACCATAAATGAAAAGAGGGAAAGACAAATTATTGTGAGACATCTCTAAGTTAAACCTTGAAAAGGAGGTCGCCTGACCAAGCAACTAGGCATGTTTTTCTTGTCGCCCGAAGACGGAAGCCAGTCACCTGAGGCAACCGGGTGCTGCTAGAGCACAGCTTTGCAAATGTATGCTAAAAGCAGCACTTTTTTGACTCAATGAAAGCACAGGATCAGCTCAAGCTGTTGATGTAATGACTGAGCGAGAGAAGGGAATTTACATTTTGATACTCGAAAAAAAGGAGTAAATTTCTTTCACAGTGGTTTCTAAAGAAATGTATACACTTTCCCCAAGTTCCCATTGAGTTATAGATTGAACGTTTGGGAGAAATGACAAATTTTTGAGAACACTTGCCTACAGTTTGTGTTCACATAGCATTTCTTGTTCTCCAAAACTTCTACTTGTGTTACTACAACTCGATAGAAACAATAATGGAAAATATTCTCATTTCTAAAATATTAATTAGATAGTCAAATATAAATTAAAGTTCTCATCTTAGCAGGTTACTGGATAACAGCCCTTATACTATGACAAGTTTCAATGAATTAACAAAAGTAAGAACTAAATTGATCTTGTATAACTCTGAGCTTTATCATACCTGTCCATGGTAAAGGCCAGCATCCTGTACAGTGTATTCCAAGTTACCAAGAAGATCATATGTGTTGCTCATGTACTTGGTCCACACTCTTGTTTCAACTTCATCCACAATATTAAATACTCTTCTCATCTCTGCCATAACATGACCTGAATGGCATTTACAAACATATCACAAACATGATGAACATGATGTACATAATGATGATGATGATGATGATAATGATAATGATGATGATGATGATTGATGGATTGCTTGAAAGGCTTAGGCTATGAAATGCACTAAATTCAGCATGTTTTTGTTCCATCAAGTGAAGGCACAGGAACTAAGCCACAAACATTTGTCAAGCAGGAAGCAATTATTATAAAGCTCTGTTATGATTGATGGCAGTCTTATAGCAATAGCACAATATCATACATAGCTGATTTTTTTAATGTTCTTCTCTCATTTCAGGCTCAGCAATAATTTATCACTAAAATTAATGTCAACCTTGACTTTGTTACAGTGAAAGTTAACCAATTATACCCCTCAACGTTCATGACATAGTGTTATTATAAAACAAAACACCAGGATCTACATGTGCAGTAGCCTCATATGCATTGCTACATGTATGCATCTTCCTCCCCAACAAAGTCCACTGAAATAGACAGCTATTTATGTAGCCCAGTCACAGTGCATTTCTGAATCAAGGAATGAACCTTTTTACCCACATAATTTTGCAAGAGACTTAAACGGATACCATGATGGTTTTTCAGTGAGGACATGGACATTAAAACCATTGATCTAAATCCTTATCAGCAAAAAGCTAGTCAGAGCATTCCATGATGAAGAAGACGGTCATATTTGCATGCAGATATTCTTCTGACTAGTACCTTCCAAGGGAAGCCTGCTAGGAAGTCTGCTTGAAACTTGAGAAATGAATGAAAGACACTTAAATATCGCATGGCCTTTCAACGGGTGTGAGACATTTACAATATTCTGCTTAAATCCTCAAAAAACTACATGTATAGTGTATTTCGGAGTGAAGCAGATGGCATTTTTGTACAAAAAATCTACAAACTCAGGCTGGATTATGATAATTGCATCATTTACTTTGAAAGCATTGCCGTTGACATGATACACAACAGTAAACCTTGTAGATATCAGCCCAATACAGCCTGCTTAGTTAATGACTGGCTTTTTACGGTGTAAATTATGAATCAGCATGGTGCACCGATTAGCTTTAAAATAATCTCTGCATGATCTCCAGTTGATCTTTAGGAACAAAGGCAAAGGAATGTGCTGTTTGTTTCAGCAGAGGTTCAATGAGGAGGAGAAATTTCATGACAAGCCATAAGGATGTCGGCATAGGAGGCTACATGTACAGGCATATTGCAGTTCGTCAATTATTTACTGCTGTCATTGTTAGTTAGTTAGTCAATGCCATCCTTGTTGCTAGTGTTAAATATTGATCAACTTCCTATGGTTTCTAGAGTTTGATTCAGCCAAATGAAAACACACACAAACAAACTACATTTCAACATAGCAACCACATAGCAAGACAGGGTCCCCTTTTAAACTTGCATGCTTAAAACCACTGACAATACATGACATTTGTGAATCAAATGCATAGGATTTGATTTGTCTGGTGGCCAGGATTGTTGTGCACCATCGGTCTGTTTAGTCTTGACTTTGGTCTACCAAAGCTAATAAGCCAGTAAAAAGTATGAAGGCATGATTTACAGTATCATCACATCACTCCACTGTGACGCCAGTGCAGTGCTCTACCAACTGAGCTATCAAGCCACAGGTCAGTTTGTGAGTAGCTCCCAGTTGGCTTGATAGCTCAGTTGGCTGATCACTGCACCAGACCGGTGTTGCAGAGGTCATGGGTTCAAATCCTGTTCAAGCCTGAATTTTGTTCAGGCTGTAATTTCACAGCAGCTTAAGCTGTATCTAGATCTGCGACGATCAATCATGTCTTCATAACTATCTCCACAGTTCAAATATATGATCTTTCATACATTCACTTCTAGTAAAAAGCGCCACATAACAAACTATATACATTACACTTACAGGAAAGCAGCAAGTATCACCAACTAGAAACAATCATGTGATCTTCATGAAATTTCAAGAATTTATTTCATATACAGTGTAAATCAGGTATCAAGACCTACCAACAGTGTCTCCTTTACTAAACTGCCTTGTGACCACGGTCTTTGGATCAGAGTGTTGGCAAAGTTTGAATTGCATCAGGTACACCTCAACTTTGCAGCTTTTGACATACATGCCATGTTCCACCACCTTCCTTGGCAGAGCCTGCTCTTCTGAAATCACTCCATACCATGAGACAAGTTTAAACCAGGCATCTTTGGGGACCAAATTATAATCAAGCTCGTCAATGAGGTGTTCCTTTAAAGCAGTGCCATCAGCTGAAACAAGATTGTAAGAATGCCATGGTTCCATTACCGTACTCAGTTCTTCTCAAATTGAAAATGCCGTATACAAGAAGCCAACAAGAAGTGATTTTACTAAATCATTCAAAAACAATACGTTTGTCATTGGCTAAAACAGTTTTGGACTGAGTTCCAGTTGATGTTGAGAAGTTGAAACCCATTGATAATTCCATTCATCATCCTAATCATTGGAACTCATGATGTATTGTCAGGTAGTGACTTTGTTATGCAACAGTCTCGGTAATTCAAGCAAACCATCTTCAAGATGTTTCCTTGTCACTGAATGTTTGATTAAAATATTTGACATCTGTAAACACAGTCTTCCACTGCTAATAACAATTCCCATTCAAAATTTATACGGACTCATATACATATCTAGTAATGTTCATACTAGCTATCTAAAAATATATATTACCTTTTTCATTATTTGTTTTGCTTTTATCGTTCTAGAGATTACACTGCTACTGTCATTTATGTGTTGAGAGAAACTGAAAACTGAAAGTAACAGTTGTTTTTCTCTTTCAAGAAACCAACTTCCTGCAAAATATAGCTTCATGTGCACAAAACAAATAATTCAAGATTGTTCAGCATAAATTTGTCACACCATTTGCTATTCAATTTGTGAGGTAGTTTACTTTTAAACCAATCAGTAATAGTTATGGTACAAACATCACAAAATATTGAGAAATACATTTATGATAGGAAGAAGATTGAATCTTTCCCTCCGTGTATCAAAAATTACTAGTAGGTAATATGGTTTTCGAACCATTATAAAGGAGCTCTTCAACAGATGTGTAAGAAAGATCTGCTAGAAAAGAAGCACGAAGTCAAGGATTGCATGTTTTTTTTATGAATGTACATGTACATGAACATGAAATATTAGGTGGCAACAATAATTACTTAAACATCTAAATTATTGCCATCTCAGAATGACATCCATTAATTAAATTGAACATTCTAAACAACTCATTAAATGTGACACTGTTAACTACAAGTATTGCCCCACCTGCAAAAAGACTTGAATTGTCAATAGGACCGGGATTATTCAACTTTTCGCCAACACCAAACTGATCCCACGTATCAAATCCAACAAACTTCTTCCATTGTTTTAACCAGCGACAATCAACAAGATACCTTCAAATTAAACATTTAAGATAACTTAGCAAAGTCCTAAGTCACAAAATAACAACGTTTTTGAGATTGCACTTCTTATTGCAATTTCAAAGATTAATCAAAATGGTACTTCTATAGAACAACTGCTATTAGAAGATCTGTTGCCCGTGTGCGAATGTTCATTGTTTCATTTAATCACAATTTTTTTTCAGAATCTCTTAAGCTGATTTTCTACTTAAAATGATTGTAAAGTACACTTCTGTTATGAAGATCTGCACTTGAAATTAAGAAACAATTATTCCTGATCATTCTGAATGATACCAAAACATTCAATTTTTCAGAATTTTTGACAGTGACTTCTCTTTACCCAGCTGAGAGTAGTAGCAACCTCCCCTAGCATGTCAGACACCACCAAGAGGTCCCCAGGTGCACATACTGACTGGGATCACTGCATTGTGTTCTTAGACAAGGCAAATGATTACTTTAACAGACTGAACAGAGACTCCAGTATTACAAACTGGATGCTGCAGAACAGCTCTATTTATACGAAAAACAGGAAATTCAGGGGCTGTCTACAAATGAACAGCTTTTCCTGCTAAACACCAGCTGGATGTTTAGTAAGGAAGAGGTTCAAGAGAGTCATACTTTGCATACTGTTGATGGGCATCTTAATGTCTTTTGAGTAAGGAAACCGAAAATCAAGAATGCAAATAGGAAGAGGCAGAAATGTAGATGCTTTCATAGCACAAGCAAGTAATAGAAAGCTTCAGATACCATCTCTACTCATTATATTTGAAGCATATTGAAACAAATAATTATGTTTATGGCTTCACATGCAGAGTATCGGTCCAGAAAACTATAGTGGCTGAATACTGTGACTCTCTGAAAAGGCAGGAAAGTTAACTTCCTTGAAGGATGCTAAGAGGTAGTACCAGACCAAAACATCCACTCAAGACATGCAATTATGTCCCTGGCCACTAAACAATGGACCAATCGATCCACCTTATCTAAGGAAGTACATGAATTACTTTATCTTGGTGCTTCATGCAACAGGTTAAGCACTAGCAGAATGGGCCTTAGTGCAGAAATAAGAAAACACGTAATAACCACAAAAATAACCTTCACATTGTCTTGCTAGGATTTGAGAAGTGGGCGTACAAAATTTTCCATCAAGCTAGCTATTACCTTAGATGAGATAAACTATTAAAAGTAACAATTTTCACCCAAAAGTGGTCGTCCTACTCCGTCTTGCTAAAAGCCTAGACCTCTTGCGACTCTCTGATAACAAACCGTATCATTTACTCTTCACATGAATAACTAAAGTAATAGAAAAAACTGTTCTTGAATCAAGACTTAACGCCAAGTTCACTTCCGTTTCTATTCTAATACAAATTCGACCGGCTTTTGACGCAACGTTTGCTATAAAACTCACCAGATATCACCCTTAACTAACGACTTTTTTAGCTCTTCTGTTAGTTCCCTTTTTTGAGTTTCAAGGTCCACGGAATGCTCGATTGAACCACTGTGATGACTTTCAGTGGCGCCGGCCATGTTCAGTTATGCAAAGACGAGAGATATGGCGGAGGAACGACAGAGGGAGCTGGTTCCTATTTTCGTCACAGATACCGCGATCATTTGGTCAGCATGTAAGAAATCAAAAGTGAATATGTCATGTTTGGTCAGACATGATGTCCCAGCTTGCCCTTCGTGCAGCGACAGTTGAGTGAAGATCAAGATGGGGCGTTCTTCTAAGGACAAAAGAGATATTTATTACAGACTTGCGAAGGAAGAAGGCTGGAGAGCTAGAAGTGCATTTAAATTATTGCAACTAAATGACGACTTTAACTTGTTTAATGGCGTTAACCGTGTAGTGGATTTGTGCGCGGCACCCGGAAGCTGGAGTCAAGTACTGAGCAGAAAATTGATCCAAGAACGTCCAGAAGACAAGGACAAAGTCAAGATTGTAGCGGTAGATTTACAAGCCATGGCTCCTCTCCCTGGCGTTATACAGATACAGGGTGACATCACTAAAGTAAGAACTCTGTTATTTAACTGAAGAAACTGTGCCATGTATTGTAATTCAAACTTTGTCGCCATGGCCATTTTGCCATATGGCAAACACTCATCCGGTTGTTTAGCCTCACTTCGATTAGCCCCTAACCGTTTAGGTGCCCCCTCCCCCACCTTCCCAACCAGAAGTCGAAAACACTGTTTATTTCTTGTTCTTTAAGCGTGAATGGGGGCTAATCGACTTCTGGTTGGGCCAACTAGCTAGGAGCTAATCGACTTGGGGGTTAAGCAAATCGACTTGGGGGCTAAATGACCGGGGGGGGGGGTACTTTGGGAATTTCTGGGGGGGGATGTGCCGCTGGGACCCTGGAACCTTTAGGCTATACCAGAGCTAGTTCAGCTGAATTTTGCTAACCTATACTAGAGTAAACTCATCAAATCCCCCCATCTATCGACACTGTTGAGGCTGATTTGTGTAAATTTAAACTTGCCGATTTGATTTTTGTATATTTTTGAGTGGCAATTCCTGGTTTCCTTACTCTAGATAAAATCTTTAACGAACCAGTCAGTTTTATGAAAAATGATACCCTATTCTAGACCCAAACGCTCTGATTTATATACCCTATCCTAGAGTAAACTGCTTGAAGACCATACCCTTCACAGCGGCACATACCTATATAGCCCATATATGGCAGTGCCCCCCCTGGGCTAAATGGCTACCGGTAACCAACTCCTTCCCTAAGTTTACTATTCACGCAACAAGTTAACTTAGCGAACTTACTTCGGAAAGACGTTTTATCACAAAACATTGAAGTAACTTGGAAATTGAAAACAGTTTTTTTGAGTACAATTCAATCATGATTCACAGGAAAACTTTTCATGTTTCACAGGCCGCAAAAGTTGCCAATCACAGGGTCACTTAAATAACCTGGTGCCACCCTTAACCAAGCTAATACTATAAATTTTATTACAAAATAACTATTCAACAATTTCAAATTAGAAGAGATCTACTAGTACAGTCAAACTTCCCATAATCAGACTCCCTCAAGACCCAGAAAAAGTGTCTGCTTAAGAAAAGTGTCCACTTATGGGTAGTAAAAATGTATTGTTTGTATGTAGCTGGGACCATTACTAAGTGTCTGCTTATGGGAGACGTCTATTGGTGGAGGTTTAATTATATACTAATGTAAATGCTGTAATCTGATTAGCTCAGCTATCACACATTATCAGTAGTCACCAGTGCAATAGTAGTTTGTAAAGCAAACCTGCATTCAGTGGACACCTCTATTAAGCAGACATGGACACCAATTTTAAGCCATTTTGTGGCCCAGAACCTACATTAAGAGGACACTTCAAGTGCTTTTTGCACCTAAGAGCTGTCTCAGACTCCTTAAAATTGTTCAGCAATGTTGTTCTAAAGCTAAGTATTCTAGATTGATGCATTGACTGACTGGACATTGTACTATGCATAGCCTTTGGTCTTACACTGTGTCCTATTGGTAGCCCCAGTTTTACAAATTTCTGTCCACCATATTTTTATAGACTTGTTACAGTTAGAAATTATTGATGGGACATTTGATTATCAATATCCTGCAATCATGAGTTATTTTTTTTCCTTTGTTTTGACTGTGTGGAGGGAGAGATCACAGGTTAAATAATAATTTAACCTGTGATCTTCCTTCCATAATCACATTTCACTGCATATCAATGCATAATTATTATGTATTGATATGCAGTGACATGTGGTTATCATTCAATGAACGTGACAATTTCAAAAGGGTTTAATAACTATTTTGCACAATATATCAGAACCTGTTTTAAGAGGACACCCTGTATTAAGCGGACACTGTTGAGGGTCCCAAGGGTGTCCGCTTAATGCAGGTTTCACTGTCACTTTCATTAGTAAGTGTCAGAGCTTGAGTTGTGTTTCACACATTATACTAACAAATGCAAATTTAACATATAAGGATTTGTTTGAAAATGTGTGACTAACAGTATATTGATAGAGGTTTGTTTATTCTATTATCTAAATTTTAATTTATATTTATTTAGCTCTCAACTGCTCATGAAATCATCAGCCATTTTGAAGGAGAAAAAGCTGATTTGGTTATTTGTGATGGTGCTCCAGATGTTACTGGGCTGCATGATATTGATGAATACGTCCAGGGGCAACTCTTGCTTGCAGCACTTAATATTACCACACATGTACTTAAACCTGGAGGAAACTTTGTTGCCAAAATTTTTCGGGGAAAAGATGTTGACATTTTGTATGGCCAGCTCAAGGTATTTTTTCCCACTGTGTCAATATGTAAGCCAAGGAGCAGTCGTAGTTCAAGCATTGAATCTTTTGTGGTTTGTCAGAATTACTCCCCACCAGCTGGATATGTGCCAACAATGTGCAACCCTCTGCTTATTGACCCAAAGCAGTTCAAAAGGTGAGTACTTGTGAATATGTGACTATGACTTAACAAATGTCAGAAATGGAGAAGTATGTCGAAAATATCAAAATAGCCAAGTTTGAGGCTCCCGTCATTGAAGAATGAGATTTTATGACGGTCTGAATTTTTTAAAAACTAAGAAGATTTGTATGGAAAAAGTTCTTGGGCCTCCAGCAACATTTTCCATACAAATCTTCTAAACTTTCTGAAAATTTAAACTGTTGTATAAACTTACTCGTTCATGCCAGGGGCCTCAAACTTGGCCATTTTGGTATTTTCGCTATGCTCTTTCCATTTCTGACATTTTTAAAGTTATAGCCCATAACATGGATTTTTTAAGGAAAAATTTGGTCACATGACCCCAGCTGCAATAGGCCTATTTCTCATATCAGTCAGTGCCGTCAGACCACCTCAGCATACTGTCAGAGATTGCAGTGCTAGAATATTGTAAGCTGTGGGTGCAATAAACCTGGGCATCTAAATGTTAAGCCATCATTATATCTAGAGTAGACCGTAGCAAAGTAATGTGTGTTTGTCATGGTGTTGCTTTTCACTCCCAGCACAAAATTAAAGGTGCTTTCAGTATTAATATGCATCACCAAAAAGCTAAGATAATGTAGCAGATTTCTTGTTAGGAGCTAACAAATCGGACGTACATGTAGTTTCCCAGCTTTCCTCCCTGAAGAGCGAACTTAGTCAAGACTACTTAGCACTGGAATTTTACTTCATTTATCTTATATTTTGACTATTTGTCTTTTCAATTTACAGTCTGGAAGGAGTAAACAGGATTATTGTGCCCTTTATAGCCTGTGGCGACCTTAGTGGTTACGATGCAGACCAAACATATCCACTTGCGACTTCCAGTGGAGAAAAGGAATATCAGTCACTGTCACCTACCCAGGAACCAATAAATCCACCTTACAAAACTGCCTGTCTTCTTAAAAAAACTAACTGTTTAGCTTCTTCTGAGAACATGGGGCAGGAGGCAAGTACTACAGTTGAAAAGAGTGACACAGATGTTTTGAGCTAACATTTGTGACAAAAGTGACATGGTTGAATTGTAGAAATTCCGTCAGCTACCTATGACTTAGAATTGGTTGCATAATCTACATGTATATATATTGTGCAGGACCAGCTAACACCAAGAGATCATTTTTGGGTGCAGCTAACACCAACAAGCAACAAATTGCACTGTACAAATGAGAAAAACAGTAGTGGACAGTTATAGTGACATTTATAGTCATGTAGTGACTCGATTGTTTTTTTAGCTTTAATCTGTTATGACAGTGTTGTGCAAAGTATAAAGTTGCAAAAGTAATGACCCTCGTTTAATATTTCCTGATTTGGCTTTCGTCACTACTTTCAACTTTTGAATGGTTGCAACTTTCGTGTAGCTAAAGCATGTACCACATGAGTGGTATAGGTGGCTTGTTGGGCCTGTAGCCAATCAGAAGGCCGGATTTAGCCCACGTGACCGCTCTCGACCAATTAGAAGGCCGGATTTCATCCAAGATGGCCGAACTGAAGATTCTGCCCTAGTCTCCTCTTTGGGAAAAGTTCCAGTCAAAACGTGGAACCAATCAAAAGGCTGGATTGGGTGCATGTGACCCAGTAAATGACATAAGCAAAGTAGACACTAATTTTGGGGGCAAAACGCCCTATGTGACTGTGCTCACTCGCGTCAGCTTTTTTTTCTCGCTCGCGTCAGCCTTTACCCTGGCTCGAGTCAGCCTTTATCCTCGCTTGCATTAGCATTTTACCCTTGCTCGCGTCAGCCTTTATCCTTGCTCGCGTCAGCTTGTTTGTGAAAAAACGCGTGCAGCGACTTTCTTCGCAGTGAAAAACTGGCCAATCAACTTGCAGGATTCGGCCCACGCTCGCGTCAGCATTTACTGACTCGCACAACGTGCCTGCGTTCATCTCGCGCCAGCGTTTTACTCTCGCTCACTGACACGCTAATTAAAATCACGCCACAACAGGAAAAAAATCAACTGTCAACAATGTTTAATGTCGGAAAATTTTACAAATGGGACGTGTGCCGAGTCCTAGTGACTGGCGCCCAAAATTTCAACTTTGTCAGTGTGTGCAGGAAGGGGGATACGAGGGAGACAAGTAGGTTTTGTATAACATTGCGTGTGCATTGACGTATGAGACTGGAAAAAGGGCATCGTCACAGAAAAGGTCTGATAACAGATTTTGAGAGAACGAGACCTGAATAACGCTAGGTAGTTCGTAGGGTCGATATGTGGTACAGGTTTTGAGTTAATGGGGTGTTTTCTGACGTCACTATAAACTATAAATCTCACATGAAAGCGAGGCTAACAAGCTGATGGCATTTTCTGACGATTTTGTTTTACTTAAAGTGTTCCGGAATGATTCTTAAAAGTTTGTGTTAACGTTACCTGAGAATACAACAAATACCGCTGGGTGATAAATTAGAGTACGTAATCTACCACATGACACAAGACAAATAAAACAGGCGTTGTATTACTGGTAGAGAGTTTTCTTTACCTTTTTCTTGGTATGGCACACTTTACATAATGCTAAGGTCGTTAAAATCAAATGCACCTGCAACCAAGTGCAAGAAAAAGCTTCATTTCTCCCTTTCCTACGCTTCCTGCTTAGATTTTGTGTCGCACGAGACACCACAGGGATCCCGGTTAATAGTGCCGTGAAATATAAGAAAACTGGTAAGAGTCATTCTGTGATCATTTAATCAGTCTCAATTTCAGAATCGTTCTCAGATTCATCGCTTGCGTCCAGGAAGACACCATGCAAAAACAAGTTTCAGTACAAGACAATCCGAGGTTGACACAAAAACAGTTGCTTTGACACCCCGACTTCTTACATTGGCACGTGGTAAGTTCAAGGAGGCTACTTGGTGCTGCTGCTTTCGTCATACAGCAAGACTGCAAGATACCGTTAGTCTTTTCCCGGCCATTTCCTTCTGGGGAGGGTAGGTGTGGTCTTGCTACCAAAGCATTTCTCGAGATGAAGGCTTGGTAGCTGATTCGTTTGGAGCACGCTGTCTGAAGTAGGGGGTAAGAGTTCACTCTTGCGTCGCTTCTGCCAAAGCATGAAATATCGCAGTTCGTCTGCACTGCTGGTTTGCTTCTTCACTGCAGGGTGTAAGTCGCAGGGGAACGCTTCGCACGTTGCTCTGGATAAGTCGTCAAGAGCAGCGGTCTGTCCAACCNGACTGGCGCCCAAAATTTCAACTTTGTCAGTGTGTGCAGGAAGGGGGATACGAGGGAGACAAGTAGGTTTTGTATAACATTGCGTGTGCATTGACGTATGAGACTGGAAAAAGGGCATCGCCACAGAAAAGGTCTGATAACAGATTTTGAGAGAACGAGACCTGAATAACGCTAGGTAGTTCGTAGGGACGATATGTGGTATAGGTTTTGAGTTAATGGGGTGTTTTCTGACGTCACTATAAATCTCACAGGAAAGCGAGGCTAACAAGCTGATGGGCATTTTCTGACGATTTTGTTTTACTTAAAGTGTTCCGGAATGATTCTTAAAAGTTTGTGTTAACGTTATCTGAGAATACAACAAATACCGCTGGGTGATAAATTAGAGTACGTGATCTACCACATGACACAACAAATAAAACAGGCGTTGTATTACTGGTAGAGAGTTTTCTTTACCTTTTTCTTGGTGTGGCACACTTAACATAATGCTAAGGTCATTAAAATCAAATGCACGTGCAACCAAGTGCAAGAAAAAGCTACATTTCTCCCTTTCCTACCCTTCCTACTTAGATTTTGTGTCGCACGAGACACCACAGGGATCCCGGTTAATAGTGCCGTGAAATATAAGAAAACTGGTAAGAGTCATTCTGTGATCATTTAATCAGTCTCAATTTCAGAATCGTTCTCAGATTCATCGCTTGCGTCCAGGAAGACACCATGCAAAAACAAGTTTCAGTACAAGACAATCCGAGGTTGACACAAAAACAGTTGCTTTGACACCCCGACTTCTTACATTGGCACGTGGTAAGTTCAAGGAGGCTACTTGGTGCTGCTGCTTTCGTCATACAGCAAGACTGCAAGATACCGTTAGTCTTTTCCCGGCCATTTCCTTCTGGGGAGGGTAGGTGTGGTCTTGCTACCAAAGCATTTCTCGAGATGAAGGCTTGGTAGCTGATTCGTTTGGAGCACGCTGTCTGAAGTAGGGGGTAAGAGTTCACTCTTGCGTCGCTTCTGCCAAAGCATGAAATATCGCAGTTCGTCTGCACTGCTGGTTTGCTTCTTCACTGCAGGGTGTAAGTCGCAGGGGAACGCTTCGCACGTTGCTCTGGATAAGTCGTCAAGAGCAGCGGTCTGTCCAACCGATCCAAGGATGTCCTGGTGCACTTTGTTGCGGCTTAGTCTTTCCCAAGCCTTCTTCAATACTCCGGCTAGTGCACTAGTCGTGTCACACCCCGTCAGTGCATGGAATGCTGGAAGGCACCTGCACAATTTCTGGCCAAGCTTCTCACTCACTCTATGTACTGGCACATAACGGTGGTGATCTCGGACACCGGTCTTGAACCAAAGCTCCTCACAGCTGATGCTTTCGAAGTGTGTTGCGCACAGAACCAGCAAGTCAGTGTCAGGTGACTGAATGATGACCCGTGATCTGGGGTTTCAAGCATGCTTGGCATGCAAGAGCAATCTTGTATCTGCCTCTTCATGAGAAAATGCAAGGCTCCGTTTGAGATGGAAACTGCAATCTCGCCGGCCTTGTAGCCACCTGCAATGACGAGTTTCTTCCCATTTGCCAGCTGCTCTTTTCGGCGACTGCACATGGTACTTGTAGGGGAGTCACACAAGTTGATCTTGTTTCGTGGGTTTGTAATGTACTTCGCTGACTGTTTGGGGATTAGCGTGGAAGGGCCATGTATGTACACCTCCAGTGAACTTGAGCTTCCTCTTCTCGAGCGCTCTCCACCCTTGATAGATGTTGCCCAATATTGATCAAACATCATGTGGACCTCCTTACAAGAACTCTGTGCTAGGTGTGATGGCTGTGTAGTACTTGTCAAGTCGTGAGTATTGCTCCAGGTTGTGCGAAAGGTGCGACTGTGTTTACTTGAAATATGGAAATTGTATTGTGAAGTATATCTGAAATAATTCAGAATTGAACTGCGGTTGTAGATGAAAGTGAAGAATGATCATCGCAGTAAATTTTCCAATTTAAGCAATTGGAAAGAAGAAGCCTGAAAAAAACCGGGGCTTCAACGGGTTTCGAACCCGTGACCTCCGCGATACCGTGCGATGCTCTACCAACTGAGCTGTGAAGCCACACATTGGGAGTGAGGTCAAATAATTGAGTTCATATCTTCCGTGATGAGTGAAATGATGTGAAGTATATATGAAATAATTCATATTTGAACTGCGGTTGCAGATGAAAGTGAAGAATGATCATCGCAGTGACAATAGTATTGTCATTCCTACCGATCCCAGTGACGATCCCTTGAAAGAATTCGAGCCGTTGACGTGAGTCAAAACGTATTTCGTTTCGTAGTCTTTATCATGTGGTTGAAACGTCCACTTCAGTCATTCGAGTGGTTTTTGACCGTTCGTGAACGTTACCCGGACCTTTGGACTCAATGTCTGTACAAATTGCCGGTACTATGAAGACTAATAAGAAGAACCCGTATGCGACTCGGTAGTTTGGGCAATGTGTCGTGTTTCGCTCGAACTCAAAATTTCCCGTGGGAAAAGTACGAGAGAAATTGGAGGGCGATTTGGGGTACACCTTACACAAACCCCGACGACGACATTTTCCTACCCTTCCAGTGATGGTGTTCGGTATCGATCAACA